CGCTACTTATATTATAATTAATTATATCTTAGTTATCCTTATTAAGACCCGTAGCTTATTTATAGTATATATAGAATCTATATTAAATACGTTACCCTCATCCTCTATATTATCTATAATATTATTTATTTTAGCGTCTACCTAGTAGCTAATGTCGGCTTCTATTCCTATATTAATATCACTATTATCGTTTTATAATTAAGAAACCGGTTAGTTAATACCTAATTAAAATACCTAGTCGGCGCTAAGCTAAGGCGCCCTTTAGTAATGACTTAGGGCGATATTATCTATAGGCGTATTAGCGAGAAGCTTCTTATATCTACTTATTGTCGCGGTAAGTAAGTAGAGGCGTCGCGTGTATTTATATTATTTTTTTAATAATAATTTAATACGTTTAGATTACGAGATACCTATCGTAAGTACTAGAAGGGTAGAGGTTAAGAGGTTAGGTAGTTAATTAGTAAAAGGAGGTTATAAAAGTGGGGTTACGTAACTCCTACTAAGCTAACCGGGCCCTTACTAAGCCGGTATGCCTCTATTACTACTACCTATAAGTACATATTTATATCTCTATTATTAATTCACCTACCTACTACTACCTAGGCCCTTTATTAATTTTTTTTTAACTACTTATATCTCGCGTCTATACGTACTCGCTAAGTAAGAATAAAAAAAAATTAACTTATCTAGCCCTCTACTCGCGCTTCTAAACCTTCCCTTTTTTCTTTTTTTTATACTTATTACTATAAGTTAGTTTATTAGATCGATATAAATAGCCTACCTACTTTTTACTACTTAACCTGCTTATTACGCTTTACATATCCTTACCTATTTACGATATACTACTTATTATATTATTATAATCGATTACTATACCTCCCCGTAGTTGAGCTAGAAGAGGTAGTAGAAGTAATAAGCGTAAGAAGCATACGTATCGCTCTACTAAAGCTTAGTCTTAGTCTTAGGCTCAGGCTAAGTATAAAGAGTCCCTCTTTATCGAGCAATAGTAGCAGCCGTATAATAAGGAGCCTAAGCATAAGGAGTCTAAGTATAATAAGCCTAAGCCTAAGCCCGAGGCTATATAAATTAACCCTACTCTACTACCTCCCCCGGAGACCCCTTTTACTTATTAGGTAAATATTATAGTTACTCTTCCTATTTATCTTAACATTATCTAACTAACCTATTTTATTAGAATGCTCTAATTACTAAGGTTATTAACTATAATTAGTATATTATTACCTTAGCTATTAATAACCCCGGCTTCTTCCTCGAGGCCTATTATGTTAATAGTATTACTCTCGAAAATACTCCGGACTAGCGCCTTATTATTAATAACGATAGTACTTTTACCCTTTTTAATAATAATACCCCCCTTAAAAAGACTAAAAAGGGTAATAAAAAGGCTACCGTTAAGAAGGTTAATAACCCTATAGTTATTATTAATACGGTATACGCTCTTATTAATATCCCCGAGGAGACTCGTACTATATTACGCAATAAGTTAGATTTAGAGTACTATTAAAACTAGCTCTTCTTTTATAATAATAAGTTTATTATAGATACTATTTATAAAGTATTTAAGGACTATATTTTGTTATTTAAGGAGGTTATTAAGCTCCGTAAGCTATGCGCTACTTAGTACTAGGATTTTTAGTATAAGTTCTTTTTTACTTACTTTCTCGATTAATATAATTACTTCTTTAGTAATTATACTAAGGTCTTTAAGTTATACCCTAAGCTCGATAATTTAAATAACGATACTAGCGCTCGCTAGACTATATACGACTTACTACTTAGCTAGCTAGGTAAGACTACTTTTACTACCGTCTAACGCTTTACTAAGTTCTTTATTAACTATAAGGTTACTTTCCCTAATTAGTAATCCTTACCTTATTACTTTATTTATATCGTTTTTACTACCTTAGCTCTTATAATATTTAAGTATATTAACTATAAAAAAGAGCTTAATAAGGATCTCCCTAAGGGTAAGAAGCGTATTATAAATAAGAATTTCCGTACTAAGATCCGTAATACTTATAAGGGCCTCGCTATTATAGATTACTTTACGAATATTAATAAAGAGCTCTTTACTTAGAAAGAAAGAGACCCTATTACTAATAGTCGTACTTTAGGTATTAAGCGTTATACCCGCCGCTATATATAGAACGATAAGGCTCCCCCGCCGCCCCCTATTAACTATATTACTCAAGCTCCTATTCCTAGCTTCTATTCGCCTAAACCTACCCCTAGTTCTTCTACCTCGAATATTAGTACTAGAGGTACTAGAAGTAGTCGTCTCTCTACGTCTAACTCTATTAATAATATTACGCAGACCGAGCTATATAATCCTTTTACTAATACTACTAGTACTGGTAGTAGTTCGTATTATAACTTTAGAATAAATAGTACTTATAATACCTACGAGTTAACTAATAAGTCTAATACTATTACTATAATTAGTACTTTACTTAGCTCTCTTTTTATATAGCGTAGCGCTCGCCGTAGTTAATCCGCTATATATTTACTTATTCGAGTACTTAGCTATCTCTATTTTTTTTAATATCGATACGGTATTAATTATATTATTCGAGTTCGACCCTTTTACTTTAGTATAAAAAAACTAGTACGGCTTACTACTAGTATAACGGATATATAATGAGAAGATATAGAGGCTATAGGGAGGGAGGGAGGGCTAATATATCGGTATATAAACTTAGGCTTAAGGGTTACGAGGCAGACTACTATAAAGGAGGATAAGCGGTATGCTATTTAGTATATAGTCCCTTACCTAGAGGCGGGTCGGCGCTACTTATGGCCCGTCTCTTAGAGACGTATTAGGCGTGGGTAACCGATTTAACCTTAATTATATATATATATATTAATTATAAAAGCTAACTATACGATATCTACCTTAGTAACGTATAAATCTATTAATATACTAACTATATAATAGCTCTTTCTATCTAGCCGCTTAGTAATCCTCGCTATTTATTTTCTTCTCGTAGCTTATATAGCCGTAAATAAGCTTTATATAGTATTTAATACTCCGCTAGCCCTTTTACCCAGAGCGGTCTTCTAACTTTAGTGCCCTAAACGGGCGGGCAGGCACTAGGTTCTATAATAAGTAAGTCTCTCCGCTATATCTATTTTACTAATCTCGCAATATTTACAAGTATATATATATTATATATCATATATTACACATCACACATCATATCTAATTTTATATTATTTTTTTCCTTGCTAAGTACAATACTTTTTATTAAGCTAAATTATAGTATATTAGTTATGCTAATTTTTTTTTACTTAGACTACCCGCCTACCTATTATAGCCTCTAATAGTAGCGATAGCCCGAGCCCCTCCGTTACTACTACCGATATTATAGTTAAGCGCTACGCCCTTTAAAGCATTAAAATTAGAGGATCTGGCCCGCGGGCTAATAAGGCTTAAATAATTACTATAAAATAGTTAAAAGCCGAAGAAGCTAGCCGAGGCCCTACGCTAGAGCTTAGTCCGAGCCCGAGCCCGGAGCTATAGCCCGCTAGTTAGGTAGAGTCTAAGAAGGACGATACTACTACCGCGGTAATAGCAAATATACGTCTTCCTCTAGTTCTTGCTCACTAATAGCAAATAACTAACTACTAATCTCTCTTTTTTTTTTTAGCCCGAGCTTAGTAACGAGGAGTATATCGACTTAGTAAGCGCGTAGCTAGAGTAGTAGTAGTAATAGTACTAATAGTAGTACTAATAGCGCGAAGGGTCCCCTAAGTAGTAGTAGTAGTAGTAGTACTAATAGCGAGAGGAGACTACTAAAGGCCCTAAAGGGTAATAGTAATATTACGATAGCTATACCGACGGCACTAGTACTATAATAATTCTAAAGAAAATCGTATAGGTTACGATAATATAGGGAAAGCGTTTAAAGTATTCGAATTAATATAATACCTATTATTAGTTATATGTTTTTGTATAATATTACTATTACTTAGATTTATATAAGAGGAACATAACCTACCTATAACTCCTAAAACTCCCGATAACTATATAACGATAATAATTCGAGTAGTAACTATCGTATATATAACTACTACCGTTAATAGTAGCTCGAGTATTATAGGAGAAGTAACCTGCCCCCTCCTCCCGGTAAAGTAGACGAGAAGATCTAGTTAGGTAATATATAGCATTATGTTCGCTAAGGAGTGGAATTCACGCTCAAGTAAATAGGTAGATCATCTAATTTATATTATGAGATCTTTCGACTCTAAGCTATCGAACCTTGCTGTAAAATGAAGCTCATATTAAACGTCTCGGAAAACCGCTCAAGGTGTTTCGTGCCATTCTCCACTAATAGTCTGTAGACATCCTGTATAACGGAATGTAATGGCTTTGAAAACCATAAAATACTTACCAGGGTGCCAAGCCCCATAGGCTTTAACAAACATTAACTTAAATAATTTTTCAACCACATTCGAGGTGATAATGTAGCTCTCACTATATTCAGGTTTAAGATTCTACTTCGAACCGAAAAGGTCAGATTGCAGAACTGTTTTAAAAGGCCCAAAGGCATGAATTTCCCTGGAAACATTTCTTCATCAGGCGAAATCATTGACTTTGAGAACGAACATTGACTATGACACAGAATCTGTCTATGTATTTATCACTGCCACGCACAAGCTACCTAAATACTAACACTCATGTCTCATACCAAGGCAATCGACTAACCTCTATAACCAGATCAACAATGAAACTAGTTTATTTTCTTTCGTGGATAGCAGTAGCTGCTCCGCATCCTTCGCTCGACAAGACCACACGAGTTGACGTCCTACACAATGTCACCGTCAACATCGCAGCACCACTTGGAATCGATGCTACCCCTTCTAGCCAACAAATCGAATGTCCTATACCTTGTGCTAACCACACAAACACGAACACATGGACAGAGTATGGATCGATTGACCACCTACGTCGCTGCCAGGAACCCATGCTTATTGCACCAATGTTTCCCGACGCTCTTGCCAACCTAACTTCTACCACTACCGTCTACGGCTGCTCGCTCAATTCCAGTCGTCCAGTCATAGACTGGACATCGGAGTCATTCGCGAAGAGCTCTCAGTTTAGTATTCGGCAACCAGATGGCATGTACTCCGCATCCTGTGAGTCTACCGGCCAAGAGGTCGAGAGCAAAGTCATGGTAGTTCGAGGCAACGACGGCAATGACAATTTCAGTGGGTTGGACTTTATTCTCCTAGGCCAGTCAGTAGAGCGAACGCTTGCAGATCCCTCCAACTGCCCTACGAAAACTCTCTTCGCCCAATCTAGAAGCATGATAGTGAGTATCTATAGCGGAGGCTCCTTGGCAAAGTCAACAATAACGTCTGCATGGAATGCAATCTCGTATCTGCCAATTCTCGGCCATTCGACTCAGATGCTCGTCGAGATTTGCGATGACAGTCGAGGACCTGAAAGGATCTTAGGCATTGCAATTGACATTCTCGAAAACCGCGAGCTGGTTGAAGAGTTTACTTTGGGTTGGAGTCAAGGGAAATGTTTCGCGGGCCCAAAAAACGCAACCGTTTTGCCTGGCGTAAAGGTTCATGAGATATCTGATCCTAGCCTCAGACTTTCACGTCCTCAGCTTCCGCGTCCTCAGATTCCTCGTCCTCGGCCTTCACGTCCCCAGCCTCCGCATCCTCAGCCTTCGCGTTCTCAGCCTAAGCGTCCTGGGCCACCTCAACATCAGCCTAAGCGCCCTCGGCCGCCTCAACATCAGCCTCCGCATCCTGAGCCTACCTTCCAAAGCCGCGACCTGCAACGATGTATATCAGGCGAAGATCGCACTTTGAATACTGGCGATCTCTGCGAGTTTTCTTGCGAATACGGCTTCTGCCTAGAATCCTTGTGCGAGTGCACCGCCCGAGGTATTCCATCACAGGTTCCGCCTGAGAAAGAAGTCGATGTCGTCGCCTGGGACGATACGAACACGGATCTTAATATTCTTTGCAAGTTTGCCTGCAAGTACGGCCATTGTCCACAAGATATCTGCACGAGCCGTATCGATGGACCAGATACGAGTGACATCGACATCGTGGTAACCGACCCTGAGGACCCTCTCAACTATATCAGGCGTGTCAAGCAAAGCAATTCGAAGAATTGCAACATCTACAAAGAGCCTCAACACTGGGACTACCAAAAGAAAAGTTGCGATTCCATCTGCAAGCCAGAAACTGATCAAGCCAAGAAAGAAGGCAAAATGTCTAATGCGTTCTGCCTGGGCTTTTGGCCAATCGACAAACCTATCCCTTGGCAAAAGATCGGCCCAGATACGACAATTGCCGGAGGGAAATGCGAATGCAACAACCCTCTGGTAAACGAATTTGCAGATATCGTCTTGGATGGCATGCCACAGATGGCTCAGGTAAGCGTCACTACACCATAATCAATCGGGGCAATATGAAGTAAAGATGAAACTCACAACCAACATCACAGATCTCATGCTATATTATGATGTCAACGCTGAAACTAGTGCTGGAAATTGGTGTAGAATTTATTCCTGTGGTAGGCAAGCCAATTAGCGCTGGCCTAGGTATGCCCTTGCCCCTCTCTCATTATCTCTCTGCACCTCCCGGTGCCTTTTCCATCTCCTATTCCCCTCTTATGAATCTGAAGCTTATACATCTGGTTAGAAATCGCCAACACGGCTGCTCAAATGGCAGCATATCTTTATCCCAAGGAAGAAGACCCTGAAGGCGCTTTCTCTTGGTGGCTTCAGCCATGTGGCGGAACAAACTTGGTTCCGGAAGACATCAAAAAAGTATATGACATATTGAGCAACTCGCCTGCAGGAAGAGACCGATTCGAGAAGAAGAAGAAATCCGATAACCTCAAACAAGGTAGTGGCAAAAAGGGTAACGACATGTCACGTAACAGGGATAGTAATCGCACCTCACAAAGTACCCGTTACGTACTAAATTACGTATCTATTTTAAATATTATATATATAGACCTTTTCTTTTTATCTATTTCTATTTTAATAATTAAGCTATTTTTATTATATTCTATATACTTATTACTACGTATTATAACTCATAATAATTATAAGCTTAGCTCTTAATTAAAACCTTATATTATAATAATATATTTATTAATACGATTTTTATAATTTTTTTAAAATAATTAATTCATTTATATTTATTTTAGCCTAAGCTAAATTAATTAGTTATAATAATTAAATTAAATAGTTTAACGTACTTTATATTATAAATAAGAGTATTAGGGTTTAAAAATACGTTAACTTAGACGCTCTAAATTTTAATATATTCTTTAACCCCTTTATAGCGCTTATTTTACTTTTTAAATTTAAATAATTAGTTATAACTTATAATAAGGAAGAACTACGAGCTTATTAAGCCCGTTATAATATTACGACTTAATACGTATAATAAGCCTAGGGCCTCGCCCCATAAGACCTACGGCAGCTACTATACTATATATATAAAAATACGGACTTAGGGTAACTCTTCTCGGGATAAAAGAACTATAAATAAAATTATATAACTACGATTATATAATAAAATAAGGAACGGATGCTTATAAATAAGTAAGACGGACGATTATAAATAAGTAGGACGGACGATTATAAATAAGTAAGACGGATAACTATTTAGTAAATAGTTAGATAATAATAAATAAGATATTATAAAGGATATATTTAGGAACGAGACTTATATATAATATAAACTTAAGCTAGGCTTAAAAATAGACTTCTTATAGCTTTTTTAGTAATTAATTTAGTATTAAATCTTATAATCGCTTTTAGTTATTTTTATTAAGAACCCCTTTTAATAAGCCTATAATTAATTACCGAAGCCTTATTTATTTTATAACTTATAAATATAGCTTTAAGGAAGCTATTTACGACTATAATACTATTTACTTAGTACTCGTAGCTTTAACTTTTATTAATATACTTATTATAACTAGCTAGCCGTAATATTTTAATTACTTTTATTTAGTAAGTTTACTTTTTAAAAAACTAATTAAATAGTACGAATATATTAACTATTAATAATAATAGTACGGCATAACTTATTAAAATAACTATACTTACTATTTAATAATTATATAATATAATATTTAAACTTAAAAATAAGAATAAGTAATTTTATACTTAGTTTATAATACCCCGACTTTTTTTAATACTTAGAGCTAAGTACCCTAAACTAAAACTTTATAACGAGTTCCTAGATACTTTTTAAAAATTCCTTACCTAAACTAAGGCCTACTTACGCTATTACGGGACCTCTTTTATTATTAAAATAAATAAGGTTTATTACATAACTTTATTTTTTAAAAAAAATACCCTTACTTAGTTCGAACCCTTTATAAAAGACTACTTTAAAAACGAACGTAATATTTAAAATAAAAATATTAAAAAGATTTTTAATAACTATAACGAGTTTAAAAAAAAACTTAAAAAAACCTTTAGTAACCCCGATAAAGAACGAATTACTAAATAAAAATTTATAACTTTTATATAAAAAAGGTTAGTTAGTAAATATGTTTTTAAATTTAAATAGATTACCTCTAAGCTTAATTAGGGTAATAAAGTATTTATAATAACTTTCTATCGTAATTTAAAAAAAAAATTAAGGATAACCTCTCTTATTAAGACCGACCTAATAAACTCTATAATTATATTAATATAATTATTAAGATTAATAATCGACTTTACGAACGACGCTTTAAATAAAAAAAATAAAATACTTAGAATAACTAAGCTAAACTTAATAATAAACGTAAGTATAAACTAACGACTACTATAATAAAGTATTATAATAGACTAATAAATCTTAACGTTACTAAAAGGGAATAACCTTATTAAAAAAAGGACTTTAAGTATTATAACTACGATAAACTAAGATATATAGCTAGAGACTATTAATAACCTAAGCGTATTTAATACTAACCTATTTTAAAAAAACGAGCTAATATTGTAAATAAAAAAACCCCTTATAAATAACTCTTATAAATAGCTTATTATAATAATAATTACCTTACTTATTAAAATAATAAAAAATAAATAAGATAATACTTAAAGTAACCTAAGGATAAAGGACGATCTAATACTATACTATCCGTTAAGACCCTAGTAGTAATAATAAAAAAAAAAAAAATCCGCTTACTAACCCTATACTTTTAAAAAAAATAATATTAAATACCTTATTATATTCTCTTAAATTTATAAAAATATAAAAAAGAAAAGTAAAACGGACCCTATTATAAAAATACGCTTAACCTCCTCGAAAGATAAATTAAGTAAAAACTCCTAGCTAATATAAAAGAGTAGCTCCTTAAGCTTAAAAAAAGAGGACCTAATATAAAAGAAATTATAAATAGCCTCGTATATATAATACGATAAGACTATATAAACTAAAAATAATTTACTAAATCTAAAAAAGGACTCGATCTAAATAAAATCCTAACTAAGTCTATTTATATAATACGAAGAATAAACAGTAATAAAAAATTTATTTATAAAGTTAAAGAATAACTTAAAGACCTTTTATATAAAAATAAAATCGAAGTAATTAAAAAACTAACTTTTAATTTCGGAATTATAAAAGAGGGAAAAATTATTTTAATTTTAAAAAAGAAAATATTAAAATAGGAACTAGTTCTTTTTATTTTAATAAAGTAAAATTACTTTATAATTCGGACGAACCTCGTAACGTTACTTAATAACGTACTTAGATAGAGATTAATTATAAAGTATTACTTAGTATTAATAATACTAGTTTTAAAAAGGACGATAACGAATTATAGTATAAATATATTTATTTATTTAAGGATAACTAAACTATTTAGTTTTATAGAACTAAAGAATATAAAAAAGTTATAATAACCCCCTATATAGATAAAGATTATTCTTTATTTAACCCCAAAGACCCCTTTTATAAAGAATTATTTTAAGTAAAATACTTAAATAATAAATACTTTTAGTACTTCGTATATAAATAAAATAGTCGCTTCTATTTATAAAGACGTAATAATAAGCTTATTAAAAATGTTTATATAAAAGACTAACTACTTAGTTAGATATTACTAAGCTTCGATAATAATAATAAAATAATATTCGGCCTAGACCCTAGCTTTCTTATAAAATACTTTAATAATAAATATATAGAATAGGAAGACTATAAATATAACTAATACTAAGTTTATTATATCGGAAAAGCTAAGGCCTAAAAGGAATAATAAGAACTATATAAACAAAGTACTTAATAAAAAAAACGTATATTAAAAAACTAAAAAAGCTAATTATAAAAGAACGATAAAAAGTAAGAATAAAAAAAAAGTTCTTATATATAATTAAATAATATAACGACGTATACTTACGAATTAACCTTAATATTTATAAATAAAAATTAAACGCTATTATTAATAATAGTATATAAAAAAGTTATATCTTACTAAGGATAATAAATAAACTTAACTTATTATAAGTATAAAAAGATAACTTATATCGACTATAAATAATAAAAAGAGAACGAGTTAATTATAATTATAAATATATTAATTAAAGGACCGTATACTTTTTAATATATATTAATAATTAGTAAAAATAATTATAATACGATATTATAAAAATAAGAAATATTAATATTATCTTAAGAATCTCGTAGTTACGAAAATATAACCTATAAATAAATTAGATTATTAACTAAGTTCTCTAAAAAAATCTAGTTATTAAACAACTTAAAAAGAAGGGTTTAAACGGATTTCTAAGAACTCCTAAAAAACGAGAATAAATATAATATATAGCTTTTATTAAAATAGTAAAAAACTCTAAGAAGTTTATAACTAATACTAACGATTAAGGATCGTAATAATTCTAAACTATACTTAAAAAGTACTAAATATATATAAAACTATTTATAAAACCTAAAGAAATAGGATTATTAAAATATAATAATTAGGATATAAAAATCGAGTTTAAAAAAGGGATATAACCCGGGTTCTATTTAATATACTTAATAAATTAAAAAGAATAAGAGTACTTTAATAAATATATTAATAAGAAACTCGAAAAAGGATATATTCAATTATTAAATTCTCTTATTAGATTCCCCTTATTCTTTATACTAAAAAAAAGTAGAAAATTAAGACCTATTATCGATTATAAAAGACTTAACGAAATTATAAAAAAGAATTATTACTTCTTATTACTTATTATTAAGCTTAGAGATTTATTTTATAGAGCTAATTAGTTTATTATTATAAATCTTAAAAAAGCATTTAACTAAATTCGGATTAAAAAAAGAAATAAATAAAAAATAGTATTCTAAACTTATAAAGGACTCTTTAAGTATCTCGTTATACCTTTTAAACTTATTAATACTCTAATAACTTTTTAAATAATAGTTAATTACGTACTCT